TACTCTAATAATAGTAGATCCTTTAGAATCTATAATAAGCGTACTTTATGTACAGAAGAATCAGTTCATGTTATCTTTGATGATAAAAACTCTATGGCCGAGAAAGGAGATTTTGCAAGTGATGAAGAGATCATTCAAAATCAATCAAAGATCAGTGAACGGATCAATCCAAAAGAATCTGCTGACAGTGGAAATGAAATCCCGCAGTCGACTAATGAAGATATCAGTGAGCATGCTAAATCTCAGACTGAGTCGGCTACAACATACTGAAGCAATACCATACAAATGGAGAAGCAAACCTGAATATCCTCAAAAGTTTATCATAGGAAATCCAACTGATGGAATGAAAACAAGAGGATCTCTAAACAAAAAGGCTAACATTGCACTCATATCTCAAATAGAGCCAAATAAAGTGGATGAAGCTTTGAAAGACTCAAGTCGAGTACAAGCTATGCAAGAAGAACTTGGTCAATTTGACAAAAATTAAGTTTCGACATTGGTGCCCAAGCCAGCAAACGCAACAATCATAGGAACCAAATGGGTATTCAGAAACAAACTGCATGAAGAAGTTAAAGTTGTCTGAAATAAAGCAAGGCTAGCCGCTCAGGGCTACTCTTAATAGGAAGGAGTGGACTATGATGAAACTTTTGCTCCGGTAGCACGATTAGAATCAATTCGTATTTTGCTAGCATATGCTTCCTTTAAAGCTTTTAAATTATTTCAAATAAATATAAAAAGTGCATTTTTAAATTGTTTTATTGATGAGGAGGTCTATGTTAAACAACCTCCTGGAGTTGAAAACTCATAGTTTCCTTACCATGTGTTTAACTTGACTAAGGCTCTCTATGGGCTAAAACAAGCATCTCGAGCTTGGTATGAAAGACTAAGCTCATTTTTGGTTAGTCATGCCTTCTCAAGAGGTAAGATTGATATTAACCTCTATATCAAAAGGTCATCTTCGAGTAATCTAATTATTCAAATTTATGTTGATGATATTATATTTGGAAGTGCTATCATGTCTTATGCAAGGAATTCTCACATAAAGTGAATTCGAAATGAGCATGATGGGAGAATTGACTTTCTTTCTTGGACTTCAAATTCATCAATTAGATGAAGGTATCTTTATATGTCAGACAAAGTACGCGAAGGAGCTGATACAAAAACTTGGAATGAGCAATGCGAAGGCACTTGGAACTCCCATGAGTCCAGCTACATTTCTTGACAAAGATGAGGAAGAAAAACTAGTGGATGAATCAAAATATCGTGGAATGAAATGATCCCTACTTTACTTAACTGCAGTCGCCCTGACATAATGTTTAGTGTGTGCAGATGTGAAAGGTTCCAGCAGCTCCTAAGGAGTCGCACTTAACAGTGGTGAAATGAATTATTAGATATCTCATTGGGACTACATCACATGGTTTATGGTATCCACATCTTAACAATTTTAAGCTTGAAGGTTTTTCAGATGGAGATCTTGCAGGAGATAAAGATGACAAGAATAGCACAAGTGGAACTTGTCAATAACTTGAAAAATCGCTTATTTCCTGGAACAGTAAGAAACAGGTTGCATTATCTACAAGTAAGGCTGAATACATTGCCGTAGGACAATGTTGTGCTCAACTACTTTGGATGACCTACCAACTAAGTGACTATGATCTATCCTTTAAGCGTGTTAAAATTTTCAATGATAATTCTAGTGCCATCTAACTATCAAAAAATCAAGTACAACATTCTAGGGCAAAGCATATAGATATCAAGCATCATTTTATTAGAGACCATGTTCTTAAGGGTGACATTGAATTATCATTTGTTAGTACTCAAAATCAATTAGCTGATATTTTCACTTCGCCCCTTCTAGAGGACAGATTTCAAAACTTTAGGGATTTACTTGGCATTATTACTTTTCAAATTAAGACATTGAAATTTTGGTACTTTTCAAAGATGGCGTGTTTTAATTATTTTGGTAAAAATAATCTTTTTGTATCGTTTATCTCATTATTACTGCCTATTACATTAATTAAGCGCCTTCATTTTTAGCGCTTATTTCCACATTTTTGGTAAATCAAGATGGAAACTGAATCAATCAGTCGTGTCTGTTCCTTTTCACGTTGGTTCAGTTCCGTCTTTTCACGCCTCCCTTCATCTCTATAAGTCATCCTCTTCTTTGAGCCCTCACTGTGTAATCTATTCTTTAATGGATAAAGCTTCGAAAAACTCGTCTGCCTCTACTCGCAAAAGCACCCGGTCCAAAGGGAAAACTCCCTTTCAACTATCAAAACCAGTTACCATTGACTCTGACCACTCCGAGGGTTTCTCATCTTCTCAAGAAAAACTCTCTAATGATGCTCGAACCCAAAAGGCCCTTGGAGACTGCCCCATGGAAGAAGGAGTAGAAGATTACACCCCAAAAAAAGTGAAGATAGACTTGGACAGTGAGTTGGAGTCAAAGTTGAACTACTGGATTCACCCAACAGAGACAAGCTCGTCACTTTCAAGAGAAAATCAATTGCTCATGGAAGAATCGTTAACTTGGAAGAGATGAAAGCCCTAAATTGCAAGGTAAAAGGTTTCTTTAGTTTTCAAGGATGGGAAAATTTCTTTACTCTAACCCCCCAAAAGTGTATGAAGATCTTGTTTGTACGTTTTATGCAAATATTCATTCAAAAAATATGATAAAATTGAATCACTCGTGCTGGGTCAGCGTATCGTTCTAGACTGATCTACCTTTGATTCTCTATTTAAGTGTATAAGTTCCAATTACTCTACTTTGTTTAAAAACTCCTGGCCTGATGATTTTGAAGTGTCGTTTGAACAAGCCAAACAATGCCTTGCTGATTCCCTGTCTGATCCTTTACCAAATCAATTAGGACCTAGTGACATCAATTTTGAAACCCGTATTCTTGCCCACACTGTTGCCACCACCATTCTTCCCAGAACGGGATCCTATACTACTTTATCTCAAAGGGACACCTTTTTGGTCTACTGCATTCTCACCAAGCACAAGGTGAAATTGTCCTCCTGAGTAATCAATTGTATGATTGAATGTGCTGAAGATCCATCGAGTCTCCCTTACGGAATGGTCATCACTCACCTCATCGAGGCCTTCAATATCCCTCTCTCAAACTATCCCTATGTGTCTTTCTCCAAGTGTTATAACAATAGAGCGTTTGTTAGCATGGGTTATGTTGTTGTGGGTGGTACTTGGATAAAGAAGTAGGAAATTGAAGCCAAAGTGATTCCCTCCAGTTCCAAGGTAAATACTTCTCAGGCTGGTGTCAACAATCCAGAATTACTTTCAAAGATAGTTGCACTTGATGACAAGCTGACTACCATCAAAGATTTACTCCAGACCACTCAGTCCTCAGTTGGCGATATCTAAAAAGTTGCCAAGGAAACAGGATCTGACGTGTCCAAGCTGAGAGTCATGGTTCTAAAAATTACAGAAAAGGCAGTGAAAACTTTCAAGGAAGTTCATGATCGTGTTGATGGAATCTCAGTCACAATGAATTCAAGCTTTGATCACCTCAAAGAAGCTATCTGCAACACCCTCACCTACTTTCTTCGTCGATGATCTGTGTTGGCTGCTTAGACAATCTTTTGGATTTTCTGGATATATTATTTTGCTTGCATGCTTTTGAATACTATCTGGATGAATGTAATTAAACTTACTATCTGGTAATCTTATCTGCTATTAGTTAAACTTGCTTAGCTCTCTTTTTGATTGATGCCAAAGGGGGAGTATAGGGTACCACTAACTTGCAGGAACAATCAGTAAGTTTCAGTCGATTGACTGAATAAGAGTCAACTACTGGGCAATAGGATAAGGGGGGAGCCAACTTAAAATACCTGATAGCAAGTTGAGGGGGAGCCGACTAAAGACACGAAAATAGCTAACAGCAAGTTGAGGGGGAGCCGACTAAAGAAACGATAAACGGAAAAGTAAAATGAATTAAGTTATTTTGTCATCATCAAAAAGGGGGAGATTGTTGGATATATGTTTTAATGATGGAAAATAACTTACTTCTATTTGAAGGAAAACAATTCCAAAGAAGGAAGTCGGAAGAAATGGAAGAGCATCGATAACGGATAAGTCAAGATTCCAGTGAAGATCTGGAAGCAAGAATCAGGGAATCAATTATGCAAGTCAAGATTCCAGTTGAGATCAAGGAATCAATTATGCTGTGATTACGAGTTTCTTAGAAAACAAATATTTGGGTCCAGCTATTTACGGAAGGCTCATCAATCAATCTGTGTGGAAGATTTACGGAGAATATTCAATCGCACACATCACATAGAATATTCAATCACAATGGCTTGCGGAGGAAAGAAAATCACGGAAGCAACAGACCAGTAAAGGAAGCTCTATCTTATTCTTGAAAGAAATCATTCTTGATTGATTCTGAGGATCAACTCCCTTGGGTTGCCCTCCATCTATGGATCTGTCATGCCTAGAAGACGGGAGTTCAAATCATATATATATAACAAGAGATGCAAAGGAAGAATATACTTTGATTGAACCACTATCAATCTTTTTGTTTTACTCCAAACAAGCATTGTAGTATATTCTAGATCCACTGTGTGACTAGGGAGAGAAGAAAGAGGGAGAAATTACTGGTGAGACATTGTATCGAGAAGCGAGGAAAGAACTAATATAGTGCCGAAGCTGTTGGTGTATAACAACACCAATCTACCTGTATCAACAAACTTCAAATACTTGTAAAAGAACACCCTTGCAACCCAAGGGGACTGGACATAGGATTCATTCTAAATTTGTACCAGTATAAACATCCGGTGTCATTTATTTTCTGCAATTTACTTTTATGTATTTTGTTTACATCACTCACATCAAGAATCTAGTCGACTAGAAAGAAAATTAGTCGATTACCCGGTAAAAGAAAAGAAAAATTACAATTCACCACCCCTGCACTTTCGGACATCAGTTTTGTTGAATTTTGTATAACAATTTTTTTCTCTTTGTTTAACTTTTGTGTGGGTCAAAGTGTCAAATCAAAAAATGTATAGTCATTTTTGCTATCACAAAATACATGGTGGAAAAAATTATACATGGATTCCCCATTGAAATGACAAATATTTGCTTGATTTAATGTCATGTTTCCCATCTTCTTGATTTTCCTGATCTCCAAATGATAGAATGAGGATCTGGACAAACTTGGTACGGAATTTTTGGTGGATTAACTTCTGGGACACTGTATACATGACAAACAATTCAATAGTCAGGAGTTTTGTGGTCATTTTCTTTATATTTATACCATATGCTACTACATATTAGCAATTTAGTCCTCTTACACACAAAAAGTGACTTGAGTATAGGTGACATGAATTTTAAATTACAAATGACAAAGTTACATGTTCCATGTTCTTTTAATATGCGGTTTTAAAGAGAAAATACATAAGGAAAGACTCCAGAAGTTAGATTATAACTAGCAGAGTTATTGGATATTATCCAGATATGTTGTCAAGTTGACAGGTAACAAAATCATTTAATTCTTGATACCCTTTGCCTGAAATGAAAATCCTATACTTCACCACTTCTCTGAACAGCTATTATATTATTTTCCTTATTTATTCATGTTAACATCACAAAGCATAGTCCATTTAGTAAAATTCCCTTTACATTTACTCCTCTTTCGGCTAATTTTTCGAATTTAGAAGCTTAAACCATAATTATAAACAAGATAAAGTATCCTTGGTTTATTCTGCATTATTCCTTGCTTCTAGAACCTATGGGAATTAAAGTAGAGAATTGTCTACTACGTATTATATATTGTATATGGAGCAGGTAAGAGATTTGGGTCCAGAAATTAAAGAATAATGCTTAATTCAAATTCTTACCTCAGCGCATCAATTTCAATCTGTGAGAAGTCCATGTTGGTTGAAGTATCATGAAAAGAAATGGTTCTTGTCTTTGTGGCCATAGGTGGTGTTGGTTGTTTGATGCCTACTACTTTGCAATTCAAATTTCTTGCAATGTGGTTGTGGGTCATGGCCAACCTATGCATGAAATAAAAGGAACATTTGTTTTAGTTCCACTCAACACTATTTTACGAATCAAATTCTTACCTCAGGAATTGTTGACTCCCCTTAGACATAAAGGGAGCTTTTAGTATAGTGCAAATTTTAGAAAAGTTTGTCAGGGAAATTTTAGGTGGTTCAAAGAATGCTTTAGGTCCTACTCCCCCGTCTCATATTATGTGTCGTATTTCTCTTTTACACGCCCCTTAATAAATATTAATTAGTAAAGGGATAGGACTATTCTACCCTTATTTATGTCATAAGATATAATCTCTTTTCATTGAATATTTATTCTATTTATGTCTTATCTCCATCTTCAAGAACAACTATTACTAAGGGTAAAAAAGAAAAAAATAATCAATTTTGTCTTGAACTTTTAAAATGACAAATAATTTGAGACACCTATTTTTAGTAACCACGACGGTTGAGGGAGTACATTTTAATCTAAGGACAGCAGAATTATGCTGTTATGTTTGGATGCTTCATGTTCAATCTAATGCTTCATGTAGTAGATTGGGGGAAAGAGAGGTTGGAATTGGGTAATTTTAGCCCCCGAGGCTAATTTACAACAAAAAAGTGGCAGTTGACCAACTATTGTTGTGGGCCTTTGGTTTTAGGAACTTCCTATCCATTCTCAATTCTATACTTGATAATTTTATTACCGGATTTTTAATTTAATCATTTGATCAATTATTGTGTTGCTTTAACTTACAGAAGACGTGACCCTTGATAGGAAGATGTAGAGGTCAAAAATTAAGGTAGAAGACAAGTAGGTACTCGAGAGGATTTCTTTCCCGTTCCAGTAGTATTGATTTCTCTGGTATTCTATTATTATCAGATTTCTATTACTACGTGTTGTTCCTTTCACTTTGTTATCTTATTATCTTGTTGTTGTTAATGTTTGTGCTACTGCTTTCTTTTTATCTTTCCTTGAGCCGAGGTCTATTGGAAACAACCTCTATAACTTCAGGATAGGAGTAAGGTCTGCATATATACAACCCTTTCCAAACCCCGCATGTGGGATTATACTGAGTTTGTTTTAGTTGTTGTTGATCAATTATTAACAGAAGATTGCAAAATGTAAAAGCAGATGAACCATGATGCTAAAAGTTCTCTCAATCAAAAGAAAAGATAAATCTTTCTGAGGAAAATGAACAATAAAACAGGAGATTACAAACTTAAAACAAGAAATTTAAGAGGACGTGAATTCTACCTGTAAAGAAAGCTCTGATCATGAAGTCCAGCAACAACAGTAGAAACACCAATTTCCCTTACCACGTCAGCAATCTTTCCACCATCTTGATCCCCTTGTGTAACCACAATTTCTGTCTTGGTCTGTAACACAACCCTTCTATCATATATTGGATCAGTAACATAGACAAAAGAAAATAAAAATTATTACTCCACTATATTTAACCTCGAAAATAATAACATACATTGAGAAATTTTTTGCAGAGGTCATAGAAGGAGAGAGCCAATTGAAAACCTTTGAGTCGTAAAATCTTCAGCTTTTTCTTGCTCCTTGATTTTGTGATAGGGAAAACATGTAAAAGGATGAGTATATCCCCATATCGTAAGAGATTGTGAAGAGTCCATTGGAGTGCAGTTTTTGCTATTTCCACATCTTCTACGATTACCACAATTTTCTTTACATCCATATTCAACCCCTCTAAGCCTTTCTGAATTCTTCTCTTACTTGTGTGTTTTCTTGGATAGAAGTTGAGCTTGTTTTCAGCTATAGAGTACTTCTAGTCTTCTCTCCAAATAATCAGAGGAATGTTTGTTTATTATATTTGTGAATTGGATATTTACCTTTAATTGGAAGGAGAAAATAGCAATATAAGATGGGTAGTTTCTCTGCTAGTTTGCGTGTCCGCCATATTATAGGATTGGGAACAGTAAAAGCCGGGAGGGCGAAGAAATTTTCTTTGCTTTTCGTTTTAACTTTTTAGCAAAAACACAAAGAGACTCATTGATTTAGTCAACTTCCATTTGCCTGAATTACATATTTGGTTAAAATACAACAACCCACTGAAATCTCACAAGTGGGGTCTGAGGAGAGTGGTGTGTACGCAGACCCCTTACCCCTACTCTGGATGAATAGAGAGGTTGTTTCTTATAGACCCTTGGCACAAGAAAAAGAAAAAAGACAGTGTATCAGTAACAGCAAAGGAATCCAGAAGATAACACCAGCAACATAATAACTAAAAAATAGAGAGAAATATAATAACACTAAGCAGTAATAATGACACAGTACTACAGACGCAAGGGAATATGGACACAACAAGAGTCACTAACATACTACAGCCTAACCTACAACTCTAATGAAGTATTAAGGACACAACTGGAGCCACTAGCAGCCTAAAACAAAACAATGTCATACTAGCCTCCTATCTCCTAACCTACAACCCTAATGCTCGACCTCCACAACTTCCTATCAAGGGCCATATCCTCGAGAATCTGCAACCTTAGGCACCAGTGTATCATAATTATGAAAATTATTTTCTCCCTTTAATTAACTTTGCGAGGAAAAAGAATCAAATTCCTATACAACTTTTGGACAGTACATTTTGTCATTCGTATGTGTGGTGTGATTACATAGCAAAAACGTAAGTGGCTAATATTTAAATCGTCCTTTGGTGACAACGGATAAAGGAAAAGCTAATACTTAAATCAATTTTGTGACGCGTGATATAAAAGGTGGCATCTTTGTTTAAAAATGCATTTGCGTTATCAACCACTCCTACTTTGTTGTTTAAAGGAATCCTAATTGATTTGGTAAAATTAGATACTCATAAACAGTTTCTAATAGTTTTAATCTGGTAAAATGTACGTCCCCTGACTTTGGTTCTCAAAAAGGAAAAATAAGCTCAAAAGAATAACAAGATAAAAAGAAATCCACTAGACGCAATGACCGCAATTGTTTACCTTAGTTTTTACAACACAAACTCTTCCGCATCCGTTCAAAGGTATTTTAAGCATGTACTTCGTTCACTTTTAGTTGTTTTGACTTTGCAATAAATGAAGTACATATTTTATAATTTTACCAATAATAATGATAGCATTTCCTAAAGTCTTGGGAAATAATTTGAGGAATAAGTAGTTAATGATAAGAGTATAACAGGAAAAAAAAAAAAGATTATCTTTCTCTTGATTTAATATAGTGAACAAATAAAAGTGAAAATATATTTTTAATATAGTGAACAAATAAAAGTGACAGGAAGAAGTAGGTATGATGTGTTCAACGTCCCATAATGCATGATTTAAGTACACACAGCCAATACAGTTTTATCACCAATTTAGTTACTCACAAAGAAAGTCCAATCAACTAATTACACATCAATCTCTTTCGTTTTATTATTCTTTCTTTGTCCCGCGTCCGCTCATGACAAATGATGTAGTTAGCAATCACTTTGAGGAGTTAGTGAGACAGATCAAGTATCTACAATATATTCCTTTCTTCTAGATCCTTATCCCTAAATAGAGGTGTATTCTTTTAAGTCTCTGGAAGGAGAAGCTAATAGAAGTTGCCACAATCCGGAAGAAATACAACCAATTTTTAAAATGAAAATCCTCGCTATATGGGGTTAAGTTCTCTGAGTTGACAAGATAGAATCAAGAAAATGCCAAAAGGGAAAGGAGACAAATTTAGCTGTCCGAACAGGATTCCGATATACGAGTAACTTAAAGAGTCCGAAACCAAAATGTTGCTATTTTGGATTCAAAACATATAAATAGGTGTAAAAAAAAAAACTAACAAAAATATATATAGCGCCAGAAATAGTGGCGCTATATATAAACGGTAACAGCACCGTTAATATATAGCGCCACTATTTCTGGCGTTATACACTGTGAGTGATATAACGCCATTATTTCTGGCGTTATACACTGACAGTGATATAGCGCCAGAAATAGTGGCGTTATATCCTTTTTTT